AGAGATACTTTGGCTTTCTATGGAGCTGGATGGTCTGTGCTCTTCCTAGGGGATGATTTTGAATTTGTGGGAATTTGAGTCTGATGTGTGCATGCGTGGGTTTATGCTGTGTTTGGTTTTGTTGGGGAAGAGATACTTTGGCTTTCTATGGAGCTGGATGGTCTGTGCTCTTCCTAGGGGATGATTTTGAATTTGTGGGAATTTGAGTCTGGTGTGTGCATGCGTGTTTATGGTTCTGTGTCTGGTTCTGTTGACACTTTTAACTTTCTATGGGGTTGGAAGTCCCTTCGAGTACCTATGCAGGTTTCATTGTTGAATATTCCTCTAACCCCCTGCATTTGGTACAGGGTGCAGAGATGGTTGTTTGTGTGTTTTTGTTGTGTTTATTTGCGAGGGTTGGATGTTTGAGGAGTTGATGATCTGTGGTTGTATGAACGATAGAATGACAGCGGGAGCGTACATGCGTGCACCCCCAGTGACCTTGTTACCGAGTCACACCGATTTGACCTTTGGAGGATGCTAAAGCAGGGCGCGAGGGGTTTTCGAGAAAGAAGTCGAGAGGACGTAACGGCTTCGGAATATTAATGACGTTCGGGGTGCATACGTCGAGCGACGCCTCGGTGTCGGCAAGGTCGAGAAGGGTTGACCCTGTGCTCCCTTCTGCTCGAGTGCAGGGTTTCTTTTCCTACTTTTTCCGCAGCATCCCGTTTCAGTTGATTTCTTTCTACTTTATAGCTGACAGAACGATTTGTTACAACGCGGAGGCCGGTTTTTACAATCACGCATTCATTAATTAATAAAAACTAGACTCGATCGTAAAAACATCTAGTTTCTCAGGGAACCGACACCGTGTGCCAACGCGATCGTTCCAAATTACAAAAGAATCCCCTGGTCCATATCGCCGAACGAATCACGCCAATCCCACGAAACGCGTTCCACGTCGGATCTGGTCAGTCCCCAAATAGATTTAACAATGCCTAAACAAGGTTTGGCATGTCTGGGTTAATCGTGGCTTAGGTCAGGGTTAAATTTTCCCCGGAATACCCGCGGCGCCGAATATAGCGAGCGTTAACGCGTCTGCCCGTGGCTCGCCGTTTCCACCGGCGAATACCTCTAGAAACATAACTCTCCGATCTCCACCCCCAATTCGCCGGATCCCTACTCCGCGGAGATCATCCCCGTCATCCTCACTTTTCCATCCCGTACAACTTGCGCAACCCCTTTGCCAATCACTGCGCGGGCATCAACAAAGACACCTCGCCCGAGGAACCAAGGGAAACCTGCCGGCGTCTCGCGCGGAAAGAAAAAGAGGAACAACCAGGGTGGAATATAGGTCGGCCGAGGGATGATGAAAATTTGGGCGGAACGTTGCATCTCGTTCTGGCTCGGATAAGATGAGAAATTTCGCCGTTATCGTAAACGCTTTAGCCTTAAAGCTTCTCTCGTAAAACGCTCCGCGTAAATATAGCGGCGGCCTCCGTCGTCTCCGTTATACCTCATTCGAATAACCCGCTATAGACGGTTGCGTATTTTATGAATCGATAAAAGCCGGAGTCGGCGGTCGTTGTTTCGCTCATCCGGCTCGATACCTAATACAGAGGCGCGATTCGTTCGCGGCCGCTCTCCCCCTCGTCCCCCGCGCGTCCGCCCTTTCACGCCGGGCTCTCCGTTTTTTTCTCCGTCCCCTCCCCGAACGATAAAAGACGGCCGCGCGCGTATATATCGCCTTGAGATCCATTAACCGAACGCACGGCGCGCGCTCCCTCTCGAGCTGTCGCGAGCACACGCGAAACGTTTTTAGCGGAGAGACCGCGCGCGCCGCTCGGAAAAATGTAAATCTGGGTCAACGTTGTGTTCCGGATGGAGCAGCGCGCACAGCCGACGACGACGCGAAATGAAAACGCGGATTGAAAGCGGCGCGATACGTTTCCCCCGCTGTTCCTTTCTCTTTCCTCCCTCGCCCCCTCTTGCCCTCGCTCGCCGCCCCCGCGCCATCCCTTTCATCTTATTGAAACTTCCACCGGAAAACTCGAAACGTGCTGTCGAGACGATTTTTCGGGAATCCCCGATCGGAACGGGAGGAATTTCGAGCGGCTTGACCGACGTGACTTCAGTGAACTAAGGGAGTTTAGAGATACTTTAAATTTGTGGGGACTCGCGTGGTTTGATTACTGTAAAAATAATTAATGGGAATAATGTAATTATTGTTACGAGTAAGTACTGTTATTGACTGTGTATGATTGTAATGATTGCAGGCTAGGAATAGAATAAACGGAGTTTGTTTTGATGTTTCGGAGTTTTGATTCGGCAGAGTTTCTTGTAAATACATGGGACCAGTCTGGGAATAGATGGAAAACCGGTTGGAAATATCGGTTTCTGAGGATTATTTATAAATTATCGGAATTCACGGGGGGATAGTCTTCCGATGAATCGACCGGCGTTCCTGTCCAAGGATAACAACCGAAACCAGAAGCGAATTCCGCGGCAGTTTCTGTCCTATCCGTCGTAAAGCGGCGGGCCGCTCGCGAAAACGACGGACGATTGTGTCCGTCGCGCATTGACCATTCCGTGCCATAACGCGGCGGCATTATCGTCAAAATTTTACGAGTGTCTCGAATCGCGCGCGCTTCGGAGACGGTATTGGATACAGCCGCGGCTAATGGCGTGACATAGCTCAGCTTTATCTCGCGTTGCCGGATGAATCATTGCCGAGGGCGGCGCGATCCGCGCGATAAATCGATGGTCAACCGGTCTCGCGTCGAGAAAGACGAAACAAGAGGCAGAATTCCTCCGCCGTGCGCCTTATTTAGTGTGTTTATCGACTATCGTGCGATCGTGTCGATGAATAACACGCTGGAACGTTGACTGGCGGATTAGAACTGAGAAATCTCGTGGAATTGGGATAATTTGATGGAGAAGAATTAATTGTAATTTTTAACTTTGTCGCTTGTTGGATCTTAACGAAACTTGGTTCATTCGATGAGTTACTTAATTGCTGAGTTTGGTGAAGGAGTTGTGTCTAAATTTGATAGATGCAGTGATCGAGGTTTTAGTATTGATAACGAGTATGGTAAGAATGGTTCGTTTTATTGTGTATTTGATATTAAATTGATTTTAGATTCGAATTATCTTCTTTCTATCAGCGCATCGATACTACAGGAATCCATCAAGAAGGAGTTAGGGGAGGGAGGACAGGAAACGGGTTCGTTTGTGCCTTAACTAATAGCTGACGGTTACTGCATTAAGTAGATTGTTTATCCAGGAAAGACGCTCGGGCAATCTCTACTCCATTAACACTTTGAGTGCCTCGAACAACCACCCCCGCCCTATTGCCTCATAGTGTATCCACGGGGGTTAGAACCCCTCTTTAATAAAATGAAACCTGTATAAACTAGCATTAGCCTAGTGGCTCTCGTTTTGTTGACTTTGCCTTTCTTCGAGTGTCGTTTAATGGTTAGTCTCTCGTCGTGAGTGCTAAGCTCTTCATTGAGGAGCTACGTTTATTTGTATAGTGTTCGTTGGGTGAATAATATTCAGGTGAATTTATACTGTTGGAAGTTGTAATACTGTCTTGATCAAGAATGAATGAACAACATTTGAATGAAATAACGTTTTGGAAGAATCTAAGGATCCTAGTATCAGAAAATCTAAAAATCTAGAAATCCAAGAGTTCAAAAATCGAAGAATCCAAGAATCCAAAAATCCAAAGATCCAAAGATCCAAAGATCCAAAGATCCAAAGATCCAAAGATCCAAAGATCTAAAGATCCAAAGATCCAAAGATACAAGAATCCTAAGATCGAAGTATCCCGAGATCCAAGTATCTCAAGATCCAAAAATCCAAGTATCCCAAGATCCAAGTATCCCAAGATCCAAAAATCCAAGCATCACAAAATCCAAGTATCCAAGTATCCAAATATCCAAGAATCCAAAAACCTGAATGCACTTAGCTCACAACAACCAACTCCTCAAGACAAAGACAAACAAAATAACATGAATAAATAATATGAAGTAGAATCCAAAGACCATAGAGGCTTAATACGATTGTGACTAGCAGTATCAGGATATGCAGGATATTTATCCAAGGAAACGGAGGATCCCAGCCGATCGGTCAGTTTGCGCCCGGGG